TTCGTCCAAGGCTGGAGCATAGTTGATGTCATAACTCCGTCCGCCCCCGGAGGTGGAGCCTGTCCTCTTGCTTCTGCAGCTTCTGATCGACTTCCTCCTCCTTCCTTCTCCTTTCCCCCCGCCCAGCCCATAGTGCAGCTTCTTGTTCTTGGATCGGACTTCAAGCTCGAGGTTCGCAGCGCTCCTGCGGAAAATGCGCACGGTAAAAACCGACGTGGCCTACACATTAAAACCAGGGGACGCAGCAAGGAAAGGCCAGATAGTTTGAGAGCGTGCGAGCTGCAGAGGGGTAAACAAATTGCGTCCACCTCGGTGGGGGGGTGTTGGAGATGATCATGATTCGCAGCACGACGTAGTTATAGCAGAAGGAGGGAAACGAGAAGGAGTGATCGAAATACACACGCAAGCGGGAAATGCGAATGAACACACGGCTGGTATGCTGCTCAATGCTGTCTGTTGCTGTCCCTTCTGCCTCACCGGGCCGTGAGGGCATCTAGACCGCTGGACTGGTAGTTGCTGCCCCTCCCTCTTCCGAAAGACGCCGACCCCCCGTCTCCTCATCCATTCAGGTATTATTCCAGGGTGTGGCACAGGTCGGAACAAGTGAGACCGGGAACGTTTATGGGATATCGTATACTTCAGGTCTAACGGGTGACGGTTGTTGTGGGGGTGTTGCTGTTGGTAGTCTACAGTGGGGACAGTTCTGCCTAGAAAAGGTTCCTTAACCAACGAGCCACTATGGCCCGTGGCAGCGATTATAGTCTGGCTGTTGTTGAGGCTGGCGCAGTTCGAGATGGCTGGCCTCTGTGGTGTGCTGGCTGCTGGCCTAAAGCATAGGGGGAACAAGGCAGTGTGGCTGGCACCAAGTTCAGGTCCCTCGTCCCTCCACCTGCTGGATGGGGATACTGGGCGCATGCCCATAGGTGCAGGTCAGTCGCCCGCTGCACCACCGCCTGCGGGCGGACGCGATCCAGTAGCGTAGGCCAGGGTGCATCGTCCGTTGCACTGCACCCTTACTCAACTCCTCACGTTTTGACCCTCCACCTCAACAGTTCCCGCCAGACCAGTGCATTGCAGGCTCCCTGGGGTGATCCCACTTGGGTTGAGCGTACTGCATGCCATATCAATTTCCAATCTTCTATTCCCTCCTAGCTCAGGGTCTCCCAGAGAGGCCTCAGCACTGCTCTGACTCAGGGTTAGTTCTGATGAGGGGGTGTAGCTCCTCCTCCTCCTCCTTCTCGCCCTCCTCCTCTGCCTCCCATTCTCATTACGCTCCTGCTCCAGCTCTTTCTCCTCCTCTTTCTCCTCCTCCTCCTCCTCCTCCTCTTCCTTCGCATCCCCCTTCTCCGCTTCCATCCTCCTCCCCTCCCTGCTTCCTCCCCTGCTCGCCGTCCTGGCCCGCCGCCGCCGCTGCCGTCCCTGCCGCTGCTTCCCTGCCGTCGTCGTCGTCGTCGTTGCTGTTGCTGTTGGCCCCCCCTTCCTCTGGTAGCGGTTGTATGTGTTCCATTGACAAAGTGCCTCTCTCCTTCCTCTGGTAACCGTTGCTGTTTTTGACAAGGGGAACTAGCTGGGTAGTCGAAGGCCAGACTGTCAGATTGGACTGGGCCCCAAGGGCCAATCTGGCCCAGCCAAACTGGATGATTAGGGTTATTCGCCAGACTGGATTCGCGTTGGCTCCCTCGCCAGATTGCCCCCGTTTGCCAGATTGGGCCTGCCAGATTGGCGCCAAATTGGCTTCGACTACCCAGGCTAGGGGTCACCAACGGGGCCCCTGGCCAACGAGTTGCACCAACCACGAACACAACAACACCACCAATAGCAGCAAGACCATCACCACCAACCACACCAACAACACCAACAGCACCAGCACCACCAGCATCAATACCATCAGCACCAGCAACAACACCAAAACCAACACCAATAACAACACCAGCAACCCCAACACCAACACCAATAACAACACCAACGCCAGCAGCACCACCACCAACAACAACACCACGAACCACCCCAACAACAACACTAACACCAACACCGACAACAGCAACACCACCACCAACAACCACAACACCAACAACATCAACAGCACCACACATTTTTAGATTGTTCACTCTTACCTGCTCGTGTGAAATTCATTACGTATGTCCCAAGTCCTCGATGTTCGCCCTCTTCGTCTTTTATCTTCTTACCTGCAACGTGTATTTCATGCAGCCTCTACGGCATGAGAGAAGAGGACGGATGAAAGGAAGGGACAAGGGGGAGAGAGGAGGATGGAGCACGAGAGAGAGAGAGAGAGAGTAGCAGGAGGGAAGCTAGGAGCAGAAAACACGTGGCAGAACCAGACGGACAGATCGGGCGGGCAGACCCTAACAGTCGGGCCGGGAAGGCGGGCCCAGGCGGCCAGGTCGAACAGGCGGGTTGCTGAAGCGTGTGTCCTGCATGAATCGCGAGGGAGCCTTGAGCGACAGCGCAATTCCCAAGTCAATCATCAGATAAGCCAAAGCAAGAGCGTGACTCCTGAGTGTCGAGGGCGTGGTCTGAATCAATAACGAGGAAATCACACGCGAGAGCGCGATTTCTGCATACATTCGGAGAAAGCCCAGCGCGAGAGCGCGATTTGGGAATATATTGTGAGGAAGTATCAGGCGGGGGCCGTCGGTGGCCAGGGGCGCAGTTAGAGCATGAAGACTTTCCTTGGTATTGAAACAATGTGCGGGCCCCTGGAGGTGCATCTCACTTGAAAGCGCATATGTCACCCGAGGGGGGGATCAACGGTAGCCATTTTTCAGACATGAGAGTTCAGCAACAACAGCCGCGACGACGACAACGACCTAAACAACACCATCCATTTTAAGACTGTTCGCTCTTATCTGCTCGCGTGCCACTCAACCCTTCTATCCCGCACCCTCGATACCCACCCTCTCCGTCTTCGATCGTACCCCGTTTTGGGCATATCCTTCTTACCTGCAACGTGTATTTCGTGCAGCACCTTAGGGCAGGGGAAGAGAGAACCGATGGAAGGAGGGGACGAGTGGGAGGGAGGAGGATGGAGCACGAAAGAATGAGTAGCAGGAGAAGGGGCGAGGAGCAGAAAACGTGTGGCAGGACCAGACGGGCAGACCGGGCGGGTAGACCCGAACAGGCGGGCCCAGGCGGTCAGGTCGAGCAGGCGGGTTGCTGAAGCGTGCGTCCTGCATGAAACGCGGCATGAACCGCAAGGGAGCCTTGAGCGACAGCGCGATTCTCAAATATATCTCGTGAGGAAATCCAGGACGAAAGCGTGATCCCTGAGTATCGAGGGCGTGGTGTCTGAATCAATTGCGGGGAATTCCCACGCGAGAGCGCGATTTCTGCATCCATTGCAAAGAAACCCTGCGCGAGAGCGCGATTTGGGAATCTTGTGAGGAAGTATCAGGCGGGAGCTGTTGTTGGCCAGGGTCGCAATTAGAGCACGAAAAAATCCCATGATAAAACATGGTTTGCGGGCCCCGGGAGGGGCATTTCAAGTGAACAACACATGTGTTACCGGAGGGGGGATCAACAATGATTATTTGTCAGAAGTGGTAGCTCAACAAGAACAACAACCACGACGACGACGACGGCGACGACGACGACGATGACGAGGAGCGTGAGAAAATCCAGAGCGAGAGCGTGATTCCTGAGTGTCGAGGGCGCGGCGCCTGAATCAAATGCGAGGAAATCCCACGCGACAGCGCGATTCCTGAGTGTCGACAGCGCGACGCTTGAATAAATTGCGACGAAGTACCAGGCGAGAGCTGATTCTTTGATTAATTGCAAGGAAGTCCCTAGCGAGAGCCGGATTATTTAATACATCGCAGAAAGAAATACTAGGCGGGAGCCGCTGTTGTTGTAATCTGGGGGCCAGGGGCACAGTTTGAGCAGGAATATTTTCTGGGTAAAAACAGCGACCGCAGGAGGAGCATTTCAATCGTGCGAGGCGAGTGCGTGAGTCTGCGCGTAATTCGCCAGGAGGTCTCGGGCGAGAGCGCGATTCCTAAGTAAATTGTGAAGAAGTCCCAGGCGAGAGCGCGATTCCTGAACGGCGAGGGTGTAGCGCTCGAATGCATTGCGAGGAAATCACAGGCGAGAACGCGACTCTTTGATACATTGCAAAGAAGTCCCTAGCGAGAGAGCGATTCCTGAGTAAATTGAGAGGAAGTATAAGGCGGGAGCCGTTGTTGTTGTAAACTGGGGGCCAGGGGGATAGTTTGAGCAGGAATATTTTCTTTGATGGGGAGCAAGGTGCGAGCCTCGGGAGGGGAATAAGCACATATACCGGAGGGTGGGATCAACCATAATCATGTTTCAGTAATGAGAGTTCAACCCCTCCGCCTCATAATTCCTGACGATTTATTCAAATATCGCGCTCTGGCGCGGGACTTCCTCGCAATTTATTCAGACGCCGCGCCTTCGACCCTCCAGAATCATGCTCTCGCTTTGGCAGTTCCGGCGATTGACTTAGGAATCACGCTATCGCTCGAAACGTCGTCGCGATTCATGCAGGGCGCACGCTTTAGCAGCCCGCCTGCTCGACCTGGCCGCCTGGGCCCGCCTTCCCGACCCGCCCGTTAGCTTGTGAGGGTGTACTCGCCCGATCTGCCCGCCTGGTTATGCCACGTGTTTTCTGCTCCGAGCCCCCCTCCTGCTATTCTCTCTCGTGATCGATCCTCCTCCCTCTCCCTTATCCCTTCCTTCCATCCGTCCTCTCTTCCCCTGCCTTAGGGGCTGCACGAAGTACACGTTGCAGATAAGACAGATACATACCCCCATCGGGGTACGATCGAAGACGAAGAGGACGGGTATCCATGGTTTGGGAGACATGTTGATTGATATGCACGCGTATAAGAGCGAGCAGTCTTAAAACGATTGTTGTTGTTGCTGCTGTTGTTGTTGTCGTCGTCTGTAACGTCGTCATCGTCGTCGTCGTCGCCGTCGTCGTGGCCACGTCTCCGTCGTCGTCGTTGCGTCGCCGCCGCCGCCGCCGCGGAGGCCTCCTGGGCCAGTACGGCACCGTCCGAGCCTGCAAGATCCTGCCGCCCCCGCCAGGGCAGCCCGCGGCCGCGGGCATCGTGCGCATGGCGTCCCCGCAGGATCGTCTTCTTCGACGTCGTCTTCGGCGTCACCGCCGCCATCACTGCCGCCGCCGTCGTCGTCGCCGTCGTGATGGTGGTGGTGGTGGTTGTCGTCGTCGTCGTCGTCGTCGTCATCGCCGCTGCTACCGTCGCCGTCGTCATCGCCGTCGCCGCTGCCCAACGCCGCCCCCGCCGCCGCCGCCGCTGTCGCCGTCGTCGTCGTCGTCGCCGTCGACGTCGTCTTCGGCGTCTTCGTCTTAGCCTTCGGCGTTGGCCAATGGAGCATGGAGGATCGATTTGTCTAGATGGTTCTTGCCCCTGCGGGGCCTCTGGAGGTCTCCAGGGGGAGTCTCCGTCGTCTTCATCTTCTTCGTCATTGTCGTTGCTAACGCGTTTTCATTGATACTGGCGTCGTTCATGTCGCCGTCGCAGGATGGGGGCTGCCCGAGGAGGAGGACGAGGAGGAGGAGGAGGAGGAAGAGGAGGAGGAGGAGGAGGAGGAGGAGGAGGAGGAGGGAGGTATGAGAGGGAAGAGAAGGCAGAGAGGTAGTCAGGGAGGGAAGGAGGGAGGGAGGGGAGGGGAGGGAGAAGGGAGGAAGGGATGACGGAGTTTTTCGGGGCTTCTGGAGACGCCGCGAACTCTCCTTGGAGCATTTTGGAGGTTTTTTGGGAGACTTCTGCACTTGTCTCGGACCCTGGGCGGGCGTCGGAGCTCGGGGTGCTCCCCGGAGGTTCAAGCAGTCTCTTGGAGGCCTTCGGCAAGCCTCTGAGACAATTGGCCGGGCCCCGGAGGAGGGAGGGAGGGTGTCGCCGCTGGCGCCGGCCTCCCTGCCGACGCCGAGCCCGACCCCCAAACTCGACGCCGGCGCCGTCTCCCTGGCCGACGCCTGCACCGACTTGGATTCGCCGACGCCCGCGACGACGTTCATGGACCACAACTTGCCACCTCCTCCTCCTCCTCCTCCTCCTCCTCCTCCTCCTCCTCCTCCTCCTCCTCCTCCTCCTCCCCCTCCCGCTGGCCAGACTTGCCATGGGGCGGGAACGCAAGGGATACTCAGATCTTTGGAGTTAGTCGGACATGCCAGGGCCTCCGTTGGCCTCAACTGTGCTCAGGTTCTGGACTGTTTGGCTTCCTTATCGCGTTCTACATGCGAGCAGCAGCCGTCAAGCTCTGAGATGATACTTGCGGAGTCCAGCCCCGAGAACACCGAGACCGCCCCGGACTAGTGTAACAGCACATCTGCACAAGCGTCCTGACGATGGCCGCAGGCAGCACGACGGGGGGCACCTCGAGTGGGGGCGGCGGCACGGCCGCCACGTGCAGCAGCGCCGGTGCAACCGGCAAGTTCAGTTCGACTCCAACGGCTGGGACCCGCAGCGCCACGCCCAGCAGCACCAGCTGGTAGTACCAGCGGAGTGCAGCTCCGAGACCGCCGAGGGCTGGCTGGCCCACCAACACATCTGGCGCCGCTGTCGGCACGAGACTACCACGGCGTCCACGCGGGAAGGGGGGACAACTTGTCAACTCTCTCTCTCTCTCTCTCTATATATATATATATATATATATATATTCACACGCACACATCGGAGTTGGCTGGGGGGGGGGGCGTGCCGCTGTCCTGTCTGTTCCCCCCAAGGGTCGTGCCCGTCGGGGTGTGTGTGGGGGGGTTCCACAGCTCCCGAGGCGGCCCGGGCCTGCCCCGAAACAGGCCACGACTGGCTCAGGGGGTCCCGAGAGGGCCCAAGACGGTCCCCAGAGGCCCTGAAGACGCCTGAGGTGCCTTAAGACAGCCGACGAGGACTCCAACACGCTCCAGGACGGACTCAAGAGGCTCTCCAAGAGGGCCCTAGGAGGCAAAATCCATTCATTTGCTGATGGTTTTTGACGGATTTTGGCGTTCTCGCTTTTTCCGCTTTCCAGCGCTCCCTCACGGCCTCGGAGGCCCTTCCGATCGCTCCAAGACGGCCCACGAGGCCCCGAAGAGGGCCCCCATACGGCCCAGGAGGCTCCCTAGACAACCCAAGTGTGCCCCAAGAGCGCCCCAAGAGGTGGCCCAGAGGGGGACCGCGAAGCGATATTTCGAGGTGTCTAGCCCTAGAGGCCCCCAGCAGGCCCCCGGAGGCCACCAAGAGGCTCCCACGAAGCCCCGTGAGGCCCCCAAGAGCCCCCTGGAAGCCCCAAGAGGCCCCCAGTGAACGCCCAAGAGGCCCTCCAACACACCCCAACAAATCATGTCCCCAGAGAGCCTTCCAGGGACATGGTTTATCATGGGCCAGAGAGTCTCCGGAGGCTCCGAAGTACCATCGCGTTACTGGAGAGCTGCCCGGGAAGTTGACTGGGAAGATGACTGATCGCATTCTCGTGGCCTTTCGCGGATCTTTTCGCACAAAGTTGCCCCAAGTGCCCTCTTGAACCGACGACGACGACGAAGACGACGAAACGACGAAGACGAGGGCGACGACGACGACGACGACGACGACGACGACGACGGCGCGCCCCAAGAGGCGACGACGACATTACGACGACGACGACGGCACGCCCCACACGCTCCCCAAGACGACCCCAAAATCCATGTTCCCAGAAGGTCTTCTGGGAACCCGAATCATCAGACCTCTCGACCCCCTACGCAACCATTTTCCCCGAAAACCTTCTGGAATGCGGGGTGGCATGCATGGACTCTCACTGCTCATTGTGCGTCCAGCGTTATGGGCACTTCTTCACTTTCCGTTCAAACCAGCTGTGCTCCATTACTTCAGTGGAGCAGTCAACTCGTCAAGGCCTGGGGCGTTCTAGACCTGAGCGCGCGCGAAGTACGCGAGATGGTTCTAGTATGTAGATGCATGTATGTATGTATGTACGTATGCATGTATGTCGATATGTCGGTGGGTAGGTAGCTAGGTAGGTCTGTCTGTAAGTCTATATGTCTGTCTGTCTGTGTGATGGATGTATGGATGTATACATGTATGCATGTACATATGTATGTATGTATGTGTAGACAGGTAGGTCGGTAGGTAGGTCGGTAGGTCTGTATGTATGTATGCATGTATGTATGTCTGCCTGTCTGTCTGTCCGCCTGCCTGCCTGTCTGTCTGTCTGCCTGTCTGTCTGTGTTTGTATGTATGTATGTATGTATAGATGCATGTACGTATGTATGTATGTATGTATGGATGTATGGATGTATGTATGTATGTATGTATGTATGCATGTATGTACGTATGTGTATACATATGCATGTTCATGTACGTATTTATGTGTGCATGTATGTATGTGTATGCATGCATGTAATTATGTGTATGCATGCATGTATGTATGTATGGGTGTATGTGTGCACGTGTGTATGTGTTTATGTGTGTATGGGTGTATGCACGTATGCATGTATGCATGCATGCATGCATGTATGCATGTGAGGATATGTGTATGTGTGTATGCATGCATGTATGTATGACCGTATGTATGTATGTATGTATGCATGCATGCATGCATGTATGTAGGTAGGTATAGATGTATGTATATAGATGTGTGTGTATGTGTGCATGCATGCATGCATGCATGTAGTTGTGTGTCCATGTATGTGTGTATGCATCTATATAAAATGTCGCGATGCATTTTTACATACGCACATATGTATGCATATATGTATGCATGTATGCATGTACGTATGTATGTATGTATGTATGTATGTATGTATGTATGTATGTATGTATGTATGTACATGTGTATGTTTGTATGATTGTATGTGTGTATGTTTGTATGTTTGTATGTATGTATGTATGCATGCATGCATGTATGTATGTATGTATGTATGTACATATGTATATAGATATCCCCGATAGACGGAGCCGATCACCACGGCGTTGTGCAGCTTGCTGGGCACTAGTAGTGTGGTTTTGGACTGCATACGAGCTCCAGTAACAGACACCACTACCAGCTCAACTATCACGAACTCCCCGATGCTAGTTCCACTTTTGCACCTTTCTTCACACTGCCACCACCATCACCGCCATTATCGCCCCCATGCCCCGCCCTCGCTTCCAGTCTCACTACCAGCTTCACTATCTACTATGCCGCCCAATCTGAGAGGGCGGGCCGAAGGCGAGGGAGGCGGTCTCACTCCGTCGCACTCCGACTGCGCACCCTAAGATTCGGCCGCTCGCACGCACTTGCCGCCTAACGGGGAGCGGCTCTCAGATACCGGGTCGGGCAGTCTGCCCGCTGCCGCGGCTGCGCTGCCTGAGGTCGATCCCCACCATCGACCGGACCGCTCGTACGCCACCATAGCATCCGCCTCTAGCCCTACCACCGCGAGAGCAAGTACCTCGTTAATGGCCATTTCTATCAACAGTGCCAGTGCCAGCTCCAGGACCAGGAATACGATGCCCGACGGCTACCAGCGGCGCGACACCAGCACGGTGGGCTCAAGCAGTACGGCAAAGAGCAGCACGACGGGTACCATCAGCATGACGCTGAACTTCATGACCGGGTCCAGAAATGCGTGCAGTTCTTCTTGTTGGGTCCGCCATCTCCGTGACATTATATATGGGCGCCATCTCCGTGATATTTGTGACTGGCACCAGCTCCGTGACACTCGACATCGGCACAACCTCCGTGACGTTGACATCTTCACCCGCCGGCGGTGGTTGCGTTTCAGACGAGCTTTCCCCCACACATGCGGAGGTTGAGTTGCGTCGAGACGAGTGGGGGTCGGCGGCGAGCGAGGGGGGGAAGTGAGGTGGAGCGGGCCTTCTCGGAAGGCTCGGAATTTCCTTGGCCTTCTGAGAAGCTTCATGAGTCTTCCTCGAAGACACACACAACCTCTCAGAAGGCCGGAGGGCTCTTTAGCAGCCCCGCTGCCTTCTCAGAAGGCCTTCTCCTTCTCACTTTCCCCCCTCGCTGCCGAGGGGGGCGCAGCGACGGGGGCGGAAGAGGAGGAGGAGGAGGAGGAGGAGGAGGAGGAGGAGGAGGAGGAGGGAGGTGGCCCCGACACCACCCCTGCGGGGTGGTGTCGGGGCCACTCTCAGGGGCA